GAGTGGGAGGGAGAGAGAGAGAGACATCGATGTGAGAGAGACATATCGATCGTATGATGCTTTTATACAGCTGGTGGCGCAACATCACCACAAACATGCGAGGAATGCGTTGTGCTAGGACTTCCCATAGGAATTCTTTAAAAAATTTGTTTTTCTTTACTGATTTCAGAGAGAGAGAGATAGAAACATCGATGAGAGAGAATGTCAACTGGCCGCCTCCTGCATGCCCCTCACTGGGGACTTGGTCCACAACTTGGGCATGTGTCCTGACTGGGAATTGAACTGGCAACCTCTTGGTGCATGGGTCGATGCTCAACCACTGAGCCACACCGGCCGGGCTACATAGGCATTTTTAGCTCCATTATAATCTGTGGGAGCACTGTCATAAATGTGCTTCGTTGTTGACTGAAATGTCATGCAGCACAACTGTATGTTGTTTTTGTAGTCATTCTCAACCAGGGGCACTTTGCCTCCCAGGGGACATTTGGCAGTGCCTGAATACATTTTGGAGTCATGACTATAGAGGGGTGCCAATGGCATCTGGCGGGCAGAGGCCAGGGATGCTGCTAGCGATCCTGCAGTGCACGGGGCAGCCCCCCACACCAAGGAATCATCTGCCCAAGGTGTCAGCAGTGCCGAGGTTGAGAAACTGCTAGAGCGTGATGCTGATAGAGCAGAATTATGGAGAAATATAATGGAGTGATAGAGGCTGGCTGAAGGATAATGGCTGGAGGGACTGAAGGGGCTCTGGGTGCCCACCTTTTAACCTATCCCTGCATCTCCAGGCCAAAATTGTGCGCAACGCCAAGGACACGGCACACACACGGGCTGAGCGGAACATTCTGGAGTCAGTGAAGCACCCCTTCATTGTGGAACTGGCCTACGCCTTCCAGACTGGTGGCAAGCTCTACCTCATCCTCGAGTGCCTCAGTGGTATGAGGGGGCGCAGCAAGGGTGTGGGCAGGGCCAAGGAACCAGCACAGGAAGGTCTGAGGGTTGTAGGGGAAGCCTGGATAGAAGTGGCGTGTAGAATGGCTAGGGGACCCCCACACCCATCCATCAGTCTGTCTGTCCATTCATTCATTCATTCACTAATTCATTCATTCATTCAGCAAACATCTGCCCAGCGCCTATTGTGTCCCTCGCCTGTGTTGGGGGTAGATGGGAATGGTGGGAGTTTGTTTAGAGGTCTAGAGGGTTGTTTTGTTCATTTCCACTGTCCCTTTGTGTCCTGTTCCTTTCTCCTGTGTGTTCTGCGTCCAGTCAGGTCCCAAGTCCAGTTGGGTCATTCCCTGCCGTGTCCTCCATCCTTTCTCCTCTCTCGGGGGTGGGGAGGCACAGCTGTGTCTTAACTCCAGCTCATCTTCTCCTGGTGTCTCCTCCACTAACTCCCAGGGCCATCGTCTCGAGCCTGGCTGTTCCCAACACTCCTCAGAACTCACGCTCCCTGTAGCTACTGCATAAAGCCTGGCCTCTCCTTGGGGCCTCCTGTTCGCCGTGGAGCGGTCCAGGCCTGCTTTGCTCACCTACCCCCCCCACCAGATGAACCCCGGGAGCTCCGTTCCCTGGGCTCCATCTCAGCTTCCCCGTTAAGTCCCCCTGTGTCCTCACTTTGGGATTTTCTTCTCCTTTGTCTCCTCTGTGAGGTGTTTTTGGGTTAAGCTCTGGGAGCTGTCGCCTCAGTCTGGCATGTCTGTCTCCCATTAGACTGAGCATCCTGAGGGCAATGGCTGGGTCTCTTTATCTCTGTGTCCCCAGCTTCACCCAGCACAGGGCCAGGCACCGAGTAGGCGTCGGTAGATGTTTGCTGAATTGAATTGAACCCCACGGCAGCTCTGTGAGGCAGGTAGGGCGGGAATGACGAGCCCCACTCCCCAAGGAGAGACCGAGACTCGGAGGACAAAGGAGCTTGGTCCCAGCACACGGCTGCTGACGTGTTTGTGTCGCAGGTGGCGAGCTCTTCACGCAGTTGGAGCGAGAGGGCATCTTCCTAGAAGACACGGCCTGGTGGGTGTGACTTCCTGCCTCTCTGGGGTGCCCCGGGGATCCCGTAGGCCTGCCTCCCCCTTCACTGTTGCCGTTCCGTCCTGTCTCTGCAGTTTCTACCTGGCAGAGATCACACTGGCCCTGGGCCATCTCCACTCCCACGGCATCATCTACCGGGACCTCAAACCTGAGAACATCATGCTCAGCAGCCAGGGTGCGCATGTGTAGTTGTATCTACCGATGCACCTCTGGGGAGGGTTGAAGAGCCCCATGGGCTGGCCCGGGGCCCTGACCACCCCTCCAACATTCTTCCTCAGGCCACATCAAACTGACAGACTTCGGACTTTGCAAGGAGTCGATTCATGAGGGTGTCGTCACCCACACTTTCTGTGGCACCATTGAGTACATGTAAGTGGCAGCTGGCCGGGCCCAGGGGTTGGGAGGACAGCCAGGAAGGGCCTGGCCCAACTGATGGTTCCACCTGGCTCCCAGGGCCCCTGAGATTCTGGTGCGCAGCGGCCACAACCGGGCAGTGGACTGGTGGAGCCTGGGGGCCCTGATGTATGACATGCTCACTGGATCGGCAAGTCCAGCCTCCTCGAGAGGGTGGGAGTGGGGGCAGGAGGAGGTCCCTCTCCCGGGCAGGGGCAGGGCCTGGAGGGAGGCCCACAAGGCTCCTCTCACCTCCTCCTCCTCCAGCCACCCTTCACTGCAGAGAATCGGAAGAAAACCATGGACAAGATTATCAAAGGGAAGCTGGCGCTGCCCCCCTACCTCACCCCAGATGCCCGGGACCTCGTCAAAAAGGTCCCTCCTGCCCTTTGGCCCCATCTCACTTCCCGGCCCTGCACAGGCTCCCGGGCGCCTCTGGGTCGTGGGGAGCTGCCTGAGCAGCGCGCCCTTGGGCTGGAGAAGCACGGGCTTCGCAGGCCTGGCACTGAGCTCCGGGCTTAGCTGGGACGCAGGGCAGCCGCTGACCCTGACAAGGCCCTGCTCTAAATCCTAATCTGCAAACCACTGGTGACGAGCTAGCCGCTCTTCAATTAAAAAGGCGATCAGGACATGGCTGGTTTGGCTCAGCAATTAGAGCACCGGCCCGCAGACCAATGAGTCTCGGGTTCGATTCCAGTCAAGGGCACGTACCTTGGTTGTGGTTCTTCCCCGTCCCTGGTTGGGTCGTGCGGGGGGCAACCAGTTGATGTGGCTCTATCTGTGTCTCTCTCTCCCTTCCTCCCAGTCTATCTGATAGTAAGTGGAAAAAATATCCTTGGGTGAAGTATTAAAAGAAAAAGAGATAGACAGTCAGGGTGCAGAGGCAGGTAGGCCCTTGTGCAGATGGAGTTGGTCCCCAGTAAAGCACCCTGGGGTGGTGCCAGCAACCACATGCCTTTGCAAAGGCTTCATGGAGAAGGGGACATTGGACCAAACCTTGGAAGTCTGAGAGTGTCAGTAGATGGAGACCACACTCCAGAGGCCTTGCCCTCCCACTTCTCCTTCCCCTCCCCCCCTTCCCCTCCCCCAGCCAGCCCCCGGGAACACGGGGACACAGGAGCAGTGCCTCGGTCCCAGACCCTCACCCTCTGCCCTGTCCTACAGTTTCTGAAGCGGAATCCCAGCCAACGGATTGGGGGTGGCCCAGGGGACGCTGCTGATGTGCAGGTGGGTCTGGAACCACCATGGGGTGGGGCCGCAGGGCAGGGAGTTACTGAGGGAGCCAAGGGGGGTGAACTGTTGGCACGTTTGGGGGTGCTGTACCCACAGAGGCACCCCTTTTTCCGGCACATTAATTGGGACGATCTCCTGGCCCGCCGTGTGGATCCCCCATTCAGGCCTTGTCTGGTGAGTGGTGGTCCCGTTGGCCCACTGGCAGGTGGAGGACCCGTCTTGGACACCCCTTGACCCTTCCCCACTTGGGTCTGCCCACAGCAGTCAGAGGAGGACGTGAGCCAGTTTGACACCCACTTCACACGGCAGACACCAGTGGACAGTCCAGACGACACGACCCTCAGTGAGAGCGCCAACCAGGCCTTCCTGGTGCGGTCCGGGGGGCTTTCGGGTTCTGGGGACATGGGTGGGGGTTGTGGCTAAGGAGCAGCGGACGCTGAGTGTTGCCGGCCTGCCTCCGTGCCCCACCCCCCAGGGCTTCACATACGTGGCACCCTCCGTCCTGGACAGCATCAGGGAGGGCTTCTCTTTCCAGCCCAAGCTGCGTTCCCCCAGGCGCCTCAACAGCAGCCCGCGGACCCCCATCAGGTACCTCGGAGCACAGGGGAGCCTGTCGCTGGGGCAGGAGCCAGTTCTAGCTGGGGCTCTGCCGTGAACCCCGGGGCTGCCTGGGCTGAGTCTCTGCGCCAGCATTAGCCTGGTTCCCATGCGCCATGGGGCCCCTTGTGCAGTGACTGCCAGGGCGGGCCCTTCACCTCCCAGCCTGTGCGCCCAGTCAGGTGGGGAAGTCGGCCCTCCTGCCCTGGTACCGGCAGGTGCTGACTGCCTTGGTTTCTCCTGCAGCCCCCTGAAGTTCTCACCCTTTGAGGGGTTCCGGCCCAGCCCCAGCCTGCCAGAGCCCATGGAGCCCCCGCTACCTCCTCTCCTGCCGCCACCACCACCCTCAAGCACTGTCCCCCTCCCCATCCGACCCCCCTCAGGGACCAAGAAGTCTAAGAGGGGCCGTGGGCGCCCTGGGCACTAGGCGGATGGGTAGGGATGAGGACAGCTGTTGCGGCTTCCCCTGCGGGCCGTGAAGGCAGCAGAACCCTGGGGGCACCTAGGGGTAGAGGAGCGAGTGTGAGAGCGTGTGTCTCTGTTGGTGGCCGTGCCCCTGAATCATGAGCAGAAGGGCTGGCTGCAGCCATGGCTGCCGGGGGAGGGCCTCCCACAGCTGAGCTTACAGAATTAAAGCATCAAATCATGGTACTGACCTGCCTCTTTCTTTGGCCGTCTGGAGGCAGGAGTGGGCAGGGTCATGCCAGAGGAACCCCTGCCTAGTGACAGAAGGGTCGCTACAGAACCACAGGGCTGGAGGGATTTTATTTCAGATGGCTGCTCAGTGCCCCTGGGAATGGGTGGCCTTCCAGGAGGGGGCAGGGATGCACAGCTTGGGGGACAAACTGGGGGGCGGAGTGACAGTCTGAGGCTCTCCATATGGTGGTGGGGGTGACAGTGGGGTCCAGGGCAGGCAGTGTCCAGTCATGGCAGCTGGGGAAGCAGAGGCACAGTGATGGGTGTGGCCCTTACAGTGCAGTGACATGGAGGCCCTTTGCCCCAGCCGCCATGGCGCTGTCGTCCCAGGCTGCGCTGCCAGCAAAGGCGTGCAGGTCACTCAGCAGGGCCTCAGCACTGCCAGCTGAGCCCTCCGGCCCCTGGGAGCCCAGGCCCAGGCCCCCTTCGGTGTCACCGTCGTGTGTTTCCTGTGCGGGCTCTGGGCCCTGCTGTGGGCTGAGCGGCCCTCCACACCGCCGCTCCTCTTTCTGGGGTTTGGCGGCCTCCTGGCCACCGTCAAGGCTGTAGTATTCCTCGTCCTGCTCATCCTCCTGCTGCTCGGGGTCCTCATCTGTCGCCTGCAGCTCAGCCCGGGCCCGCAGCCAGCGGCCAGGAGGGCTGGCCCAGAGCACGCGGCGGGTGCGGCCCCACAGCGCAGCGCCCAGGCGGGCTGGGTGGTAGTAGCCTCCTGAGTCGTGGCTGAGGCGGCACCAGGCCAGCGCCAGGCTAGTGGCCAGCAGGAGGAGGAGCAGCAGCAGTAGGGCCACAGTGACAGAGCTGGAGCCCACTGTGTCATCGCCACTGGAGCCCAGGACCCCTGGCAGGGCCAGCAGCGTCCCGAGCCCTAGGGCACAGGGCAGGTCCTGTGGGGAGACAGGCAGGGCTCATCACCCTGGCTGGGGGCCAGGCCACGGGCAGGCTGGGTGACTGAGTCCTCGGTTGCTTTTTGGACAGAATGGGGACTGCAGCAGAAAAGCCCAAGTCCTTACTTGGTCGAGGTCTTTGCGCCGTGATATCTGTCCACCTCCCTCCCTCCCTCCCTCCCACTGCACCTTATAAGCCTGCTCCTGTGGGGGTGGTCAGATGGGACTCTACCTGGAACGTCCCTTTCCCCTCCCCTTGAGCCACGCGGCTCACCAGTTCACCTTAGCTCCAAGTACCTCAGTGAGGCCAACGTGACCTGGATACAACCCTGGCCCATCCCTGCATCCCAGCCAGAATCAGCTGCAGGAAGACCGGGATCTTTCTGGCTCAAGCACCTAAACAATTCCTGGCACACGGTTCAATAAATATTGGTTGACCGTGTCAAGACTGTTCCCACAGGGGTATGGGTGGTGATGGAAGGGAGCCGACAGACTGGTGTTGGGCTGGCTCTTCCTGAGGCCTGGGATGGAGGAACCGGTCCCAAGAAAGGGGTCCCAGAGCCTCCTCTTCCTCCCTCCCAGCCCTCGGGACTGCCCACTGCTACCCCAGCTGCAGCATTTCCGTTCAGTTCAACTTTCTGTCCCTAGGGGCCTCGGGCTGGGGGAGAGGGTGCAGCTGCCAGAGGAAGCCTGTGGTTGGAACAAGGTGGGTGGAGGTTGGGGGGAGGGGTGCAGAGGTACAAGCAAGACTCCCCTCCTAGGCAGGCTTCAGGGGTGCTCACCAGCAGAGCAGACAGAAGGTTTTGAAGGGGGTCTGGTCCTTGAGTGGGGCCCTGGGGCCACAGTCGGAGTCCCAGGGAGGCCCAACTCTGAGGCGAGGCGAGGCGAGGCGAGGCGAGAGGAAGGCCCGCTCCTGCCCCACTCCTGGCTCTCTGCTCTCAGCCTGATGGCTGCTTTTGGCCCCAGTAGGGGGAATCCCTCCTTAACTCCCAGGCCCCGGGATTCCAACTCTGACCTCGTCACCCCCACCCAAGGACCCAGGGGCTCCACACTCACCATCTGTCCACAGGCCTCAGTGCCGGGTGCCCACCTCCAGCTCCAGCTGTGCCGAGTGAGAAGTGAGCTCCCGCCTCGCCTGCAGCTAGGGGTTACTCGATGCTTCCGCTTCCTGCCCGTGACACCCCACCCAGCCATCCCTGCTACCGGCCCCTGGGGGACCTCGGGCCTCTAGGGACCACCCTGACCCACACCAGGTCCTCACGGGTCTCTCAGACTGGGGCTGTGGAGCCTGTGACCGGGCCTCCAGGAGGAGGAACTGGGCACCCAGCTCAAAGCAGGACATGGCCCTAGAGGTTTCCATGTCTTCTGCCTCAGTATCCCTACCTGGCAGAATTCAGGGAAGCTGACGGGGGACGCTCATGGCCCTCAGACCTTTCCCACACTGGTGATCCCTGCGGGCCTCATCTGTCCCGTTTCCAGACTTCTTTCCCCACCCCGCCCTTGCAGCTGAATGGCAGGCCTGGCTTTTAGAAAGAGCATTTTATTTGGAATGAAAATATAGAGCCCATCCCAACTACTCCTGGAGGGAGGGAGCAGGGGGCCGGGTAGGGGCGGGGAGGTGGTCCCTCAGAGTATAAGCTTGCCTTGGTACAAAAATCCTCCACAGTAACGACTAAAGCCAGGCGGTGGCTCCAGCCTGGGCCCACGGGATGGGTCAGGGTGCGGACTGGCCCCTGAACCTGCCCCAGAGGCCCTGGGCAGGGGGCAGGGGGCAGCCAGCCAGCAGTGTGACCTGACAGCAGAGGCTGGGTGAGAAGGGGTAGAGGAGAAAGAGGTGAAGGGGGGTGGCATCCACGGCCTGTGGTCCTAGGCGTCCCCATTCTCCATGCGGCCCAGCTGCTCCTCCAGGCGGCCAATCCGCTCCCCTTGCTCCTTGACCAACGCCCTTAGTGCCCGCACCTCCTGCATCACCTCCTCCAGCTTCCCAGCCTCCTGCAGGGACGAGGGGGTGCTCAGGGGCACAGAACTAGAGCCCTCCCCAAATCGACTGCCAGGCAGGGACCTAAGGCTCAGAGAGAGCACAGCACACGGGGACTTCCCACCACCACCCAGACCGCGCGGCACATACCCCGGCTCCAGCCAGGCTGCTGCCGAGGGCAGCGGTCCTGATGGAGGCAGCAGGTGTGGAGGCCCCAGGGCGAGTGGAGCCAGGGGCCGCAGGCCGGCTGTCAGATAACACGTTGCGCCGGCTGACCTTCAGGTCCCTCTGTTTGCTGGGCACGTAGGCCTCCCGCAAGGAGATGAGGATGGGGTCAGCGTCCCGCCCGCTCACCCACTCCTCTGCCTCCAGGGCCGCCTCGGGCCCTGCTGTGTCGGGGTACAGATCATCCTGGAAGAGGTCCGACTGGCAGGGGGGGAAGGTCAGGATCAGTGGGGGGCCCACCGTCAGGGCCCTCTCGGTCTGGACTCTAGGTGGCCACCTCCTCCTCACTCTCCTGGCTTTCAGGCCTGCACCCCGTCAACTCATTCCCCCATGGCCTGGCCCCCAGTCACCCACCTTCCTAAGGTCAAGTCTGTCCCTTCACTTCTCTTCTGGACACTGCCTACTGCTCCCTCTGAAGCCTTCCCCAACCTTTCTAAGCAAGGCTTGGTGGGATTCAGGGCACCATGGCTGTGCCAAGGACTGTGAGCGCCTGAGGCAGCCCTGCCAGCCGCGTTCACAGCTCGGCTCCCTGGGACATGCCTGGCACACTCAGCAAATGCTGGCTGGAGAAGGATGAAACACGCCCAAGGATCTTGGCTGGGCATCTGAGGCCCAGCCACATGTGGCCTGATCCCTTCCTCCTGGGGGCCTCCGCTGCAGCCAGACTCCCTGTCCCCCTCTCCATCCCCAGCTCTGTGCCTGCGCCTGGCCTACTGCCCACCACGGGAGGCCCTGCCCCCGCCGCACGGTCAGCCAGCCTCTGACGAGAAGACCTCCAGGCTGTCTCCTGTGGCTCATCCAGGCAGGGCCTCAGCTCACCCTTATCCCAGCCTGTCCCCTGCCCAGCACAGCCCAACACATGGGGACACCCTGGCATGTGTCCAGCCCAATGACTGTACACACACTCAGCTATTTCTCATGCATAGGCCTCACTCCAAGCGGCCTGTCTGCTAGTAAGGGAGTAGGTGGACAGGGGACTAGGTGGCCTCACCTTTCTTGGCACAGTCATGACAATGGGCTCACACTTGCGCTCATGCAGTTTGTAGAACCTGAAAAGGGGGAGGGAGAGAGGAGAGCTGGTAGGAGGAACTCTCCCTACCAGCTCCGCTGGCTCCCTCTATTCTCCACCTCCAGTCCTTACCCCAGCTCCTCCCAGGCTGACCTCTGACCCCAGGGCCTCCTAAACAGCCTTCTATAATTTAACCTCTCAACCCTGGCCCTAGGCCATCTCCAAACCCCGAAGCCGGCTGCCTTGGCAGCCCCTCTTACCGGGCGATCTCACACTTGCTGACATCCAGGCCCCTCTTGGGCATGCTGCCCATGCCCCTCTGGGGTTCTTTGCTGGTGAACGTGTTCAGGAAGTGGATGTAGGGGGGCTCGTGTGTGATTTCAAAGTACCGGATGCTAGAGTCGCCCTGCAGGGTGGGAGAGACAGGCTTCAGTGCTCAGAGATCCCTCTTCCCTGTCCCACCGGGCCCGCCCAGGCTCACCTTGCCACAGACGTAGACCACACTGGTGTCAGGGTCATAAAAGGGCAACAGGGCCCCGTTGCTTGAATCCAGCTCCTGCAGGGCCATGGGTTCTTCGAGGTTTTCCTGGCGCGTGGGGTAGGTGCAGTCAGGCCAGAAGCTCCCCGCTCCGCCGGGTCCCAGCCTTCCAGCGGGACCGCCCCAGCCAGCCCCACGCTGCCGCTGGCATTCTCTCCCACCTCGGCTTTGCCGACACAGTGTGCCCCACGAGGCCCCTCTGCTCCCCTCTGCTCCCAGGGCCCCACTCCCCTGGACTGCTCCAGGCCTTCAGACTATCCCAGGCCACTGAGCAAGAGCTGACCATCCCCACCACACGGGAGCTGGGGGTGCAGGCAGCATCAGCCTGGCTCAGGGGCCCCGGAGATTAGGATACAGAACAGAGCTGTGGACAGAGCATTTCAGAAGGGCTGGGAGGCTCCCTGGAGAAGGGGCCTCTACACTGGGTCTCAGAGGGCAGCTGGTGGGAGCAGGCGAGCAAAGGAGGGAAACACCTAGTTGGCAAGAACAAAGTGAACAAAGACACGGAGGAAGCTGGAGGCAGAGGAGAGGCTGGCAGGGCTCTGGGTCCTGAGAGCGTCCGGTGCGAGGCTGAGCTGGGAACCACAGGTCTCTCCAGGGTGACTCCCGCCCTCCTCACCCATGGGGGGGCCCAAGTCGCAAGCCTGCCCAGCTGCAGCCACTCACCGGGTCCCAGAGAGCCAGCTGCCGCTCACTCATGCGGCTGAAGCCTGTGGTAAACACCTTGCCATCTGCCAGAAAGATGGCCCGCATGGGCCGGGCCCCCTCGTGAGCCTTCTCCCGCTCCTGTTGGGGGGCCAGAGTGGTCAGTGCAACGCTTTGATAGAGACCCTTGGCCTAGTCACTGCCACCCTCGCCCTCCAGGGCAGCATACCGCCACCAAGGCGCCCCGGCGGGGGTCAATGATGCGCACGCTCTTGTCCTTGCAGGCCGAGCAGAAGAGGCTGCCGTTGTGGTTCCAGCTGACATTGTAGATGAGGTCGGGGTGCAGGCTGTCCAGGCGGTACAGCTCCTCTGCCGTGCCCACGTTCCAGATGAGCACCACATTGTCACAGCCTGCCAGGTCAGGGAACATCAGCCTGCCAGGCCCCTTTGAGCACCCTCCTGGGACCACACCCGACCTCTGGCCCGAGGGCCTCAGCTTTGCCATCTGTCAGATGGGCCTGGGCGGAGGTGCGAGAGGTTCCATGGCTGTGCAAGGAGGGGGCGAGAGCAGGGGAGTGGTGCAAACCTGCGCTGAGCAGCACATTGCGGGCCGTTGGGTGCCAGGTAACGATGCCCACTCGCTTGGTGTGCCCCTCCAACACCACCACCGGCTCCGTCAGCGGGGAGACTAATCCGTTCTCTGGGATCTGCCACACCTGTGGAAGGGGCTGCCAGCTAAGACCCGTGGCTTGGGCCTGCTTCTGACAGCCTTGAACCCACACCTGCGACCCAGGGACCATCACAGCCCCACACCTCACCATGACGGTGCAGTCCTCTGAGCCACTGGCAATGACTTCATCATTGTGGGGACACCAGTCGATGTCCAGGACAGGTCCCGTGTGTCCACACACCGTCGGGTAGGCCTTGTCAATGCGGCCCGTCTGTGGGCATGAGGGGCTCAGTCAAGGAGGACTCAAGGCCCCAAGCTCCATCCCTCCCAGAGCCTGTCTTCCCTTCCATGGAGCAGGAATGATGCACCTGGCCCGGCCCACAGGTGACTCCTCTTCCTGGCCCACCTCTGCCTCGTGGGCATCACCAGGTGAGCAGGAAATGTTTGTTGCCCCTGACCCTGACTCCGTGGTAATAAAACACTCTTTCTGAGCTGACACAGCAAATGTGGGCCATGACACCTGCCCAGCAGTGTGGGGTGGGCAGGACACGGGATGTGGACTGAGCAAGTGTCTGGCAGGAGTGGCCCGGCGGCCTCCAGTCCTTCCCCCAGCCCTCACGGGCCCCACCTTGTTTAGGGGGAGCACCAGGAAGGCGCCCCCACCGCTGGCCTCCACAATCACCGCCAGGAACTTGGGGTTGACTGCGCAGAAGGTGCTGTCCCAGGTGACACGGGACACTCGAATGTCCTCATAGCACTGGTCATTCTTGACCGGCTGCCCGAACACATGCCGGAATTTGCTCTGCCGAACCACTTTTCGGAAGGACATGTCTGCAGTGTGCGGAGGCCTAGTCAGATCCCACCCAACCCAACGACCCTCAGCCTCCCAGGGCCCAGGGCGGCCTGAAGGGAGGTGGGGAGGATGCCACTGGGGCCTGGTCCTTAACCTGCCTGGCTCTCAGTTCCCCCTACAGATCGGGGGTCACAGGTGCAGACCCTGGCTGCTCCCCCCGGGGTGAGGGGGAAATGCCCACACTGCTGAGTCCAGAGAGGCTTTGCAGGACTCTTCTCGGGCCCTCGCTGACTTTGGTATGTGGAGGGGGAGGGGGAGGGGGAGGGGGGAGGGCGGAAGCCAGAGCAAGTGGGTCCCAGTCAATTCCCAGCAGGCTCCTTCCCGCCCAGGATTTGGAAGCTGGGTGATGAGGGGGGCGGACAGAGGAGGCAGGGACGATCTCCACTCTTGGGGCTGCGTTAGGTCCCAGTTCTGAGTCCCAGAAGATGTGCAGTGCCCGCAGGAATGTGCAGGGAGCCCCAGGCCGGCCCACAGGGCCTGGCAGGACCGGGCGGGGGTCAGAAAGCCGCAGAGCATCCCTGAGCCGCCCAGGAGCGGGGTCCGAGGTAAACCAGGAGCCCAACTTCCAGGGACCCCGGCCCAGGAGGGGGGAGACTGGGTGGCCGAGGGGAGTTGGGGCTGAGGGTGGGGCGCCGCGGAGGGGACGGGCTCCTCGGACTTCCGATCTCCCACCCGACCCCCGAGGCTCCGCCCCCGCAGGCGCGCCCGCCCGCGGCCTGCGCCCCAGCCCCGGCCCGCCGCGCTCACCGGGGGCGCCGGAGACTGCGGCACCGGCCTCAGGCGGCTCCGGATCCCGGCCTCTGGGAAGCAGGAAGCGGGAATCAGGAAGTGACAGAGAAGAGGGGGGCAGGGGGCGGGGGGCGGGGCCGGGGCCCGCGGGGGCGGGGCCGAGGTCACGCGCAGAGGGGCGGGGCGGGAGGCTGGGCGCGGAGCCTGGAGGCCCTGAGCGCAGGGGCGCAGGGGCGCGGGGCCACGGGGGCGGGGCCGGGGCGGGGCCTGGGCGAGGTCTGGGGAGCCCCGCCCCGCAGGCTCCCGGTATCTCTGGGGAAAGGGATAGGGGCAGGGGCGCTGGTGGGGCCCGACGGGGCGGGCCGGAGCCCTGAGGCCGACTGGCCCTGCCCCGGAGTGGGTGGAAGTGCGCCCTCCCAACCCCCTACCCCTGCGTTCCTGGGGTCCCGGTCCGCCCTCCGTACCCACTCCAAAATACGTTATCCACTGGGACCTGTGAACGCGCCTCTTTCTAAGTCACAGAAGTATACCTCTTGGTTAACAGTGTAAATAAAACACATGTTTTAAGGGGCGAGTGGAAGGCCCTAGCCAACCCTTTCTTACCGAGGAACACTCCGGGGCTTGCTGGCCTCCTTATTAAAAACAAAGGGGGCCATGCGCCCCAGGTCCCTCATATGGCCCTGTCTTTCCTTATCCATCTCCCACGGAGACCTGGAGGTCAGTCACAGACTTCTCCCTCCTTCTGACCAGCTCCAGTGACAAGGGGGGCTTAGTTGTTCCTGTAGGTCTCACAGGCAGAGTCTGAGCCTCTTCGCCTGGGGCTGGTGCCCCTGGGGTACTAGCCACCTCCCCTCATTCCTTCTCTGAGCAGCTACTGCCCTGGGTGACCAAGAGGTGGTGGACAAGGTCCCTTTCCCAGAAAGAATGGGGTGCAGGGGGAGAGGGGAAAGAGCAGAAGTCACAAGGAGCCTTTCTAGGGCTTTGTGAAGGCCCCTGTGTGTCCCATGTGGGCTGGGGCTTGTGCCCACCTCATTCCCTTCACCACACCCTGTTGAGGAAACAGCTCAGAAAGGAGAGGTGCCTGCCCCAGGTCACCTCCTGTGACTCAGGCCCCATTTGTTTGGCTCCAAAGTCCTTGCTTTGCCCACTACCCCATAAATCTTGGGCAGGCCAGTCCCTCCAGCCCAGGACAGGAATGTGGATGGCTCGGAAGAGGGAAGGCAGCCACAGAGCCTCTCTCTCCATATTGTCTAAAGCCCAAACCAGATAACATCCACAGTGACTGTCCACCCTACCCCGCCCTAGCTGTCTGACCCCTGCCCACTATCCCTCATTAGCTACTAGTGTTCTTTGCCTGCATGTGGCCTAGTGAAACTGACCCTCCTGGCCCTGAAACACACTACCTTCCTTCCTACCTCAGGGCCTTGGCACATGCTGCTCCCTCCATCTGAAGACTCTTCCCCCAGATCTTGAAAAGTCTCCATCCCTCACTTCCTCCAGGTCTCTGCTCAGATGTCACCTCATCCAACAGCCTTCCCTGACTACCCCTTCCCCCATCAATCTCTGACCTTTATTTTTGTTCCCTCTGTGTCATTTTTTTTTTTTTTATCCTAACCTGAGGACATTTTTCCATTTTTTGTTCAGGTAGAGTGGGAGGGAGAGAGAGGAACAGAGAGAGAGAGAGAAACATCGATGTGAAAGGGACACATCGAGGGGCTGCCACCCGCACAACCGACCAGGGCCGGGGACAAACTGCAACCGAGGTACATGCCCTTAGCGGGAACTGAACCTGGGTCTCTCAGGACCGCAGGCCGATGCTCTAACCGCTGAACCAAACCGGCCAGGGCCTCTGTGTCATTCTTAATCACGACCTGATATAATATTAGATGACTATCTGTGTATTTGCTTTTTGTCTGCCTTACCCACTAGAATGTCAGCAAACTGAGGGCAGCACTTTGTCTCCTTTCCCACTGTATTCCAGCATCTAGAACGAGAAGACCTAGCACATAGTATGTGTTGAATTAATGTACGTTGAATGAATAAATGAACAGCAGCTCTGAATGTAGAACTGAAAAATGTTTGTGTTCACAACTCTCAGAATCAAGGTCTGACCCTTATGAGGGAGAGGGTAGGTGCCTCTTATCTAGAGAAGGACCCATCCCCATAGGTGTGCTGGGGGGAGGTGGAGGGGCTGTGGAATGTCAAGGGTGAGCCCTCCCTTCATCTGCCATGGCCTTGGATGTGCGTATTTCCTCCAACACAAAACCCTCCTCTGAGACTCCAAGAGAACTCCTCTTTATTCTTCAAAACCCTTCATGGCACTGCTCTTTCTCCTGGATAGCAGTCATCCATTATGGGTGGGTTCCCCTTGGGGACCTTGGGGTTGGGGCTGGCCCAGTCTACAAGAGGTGGGGTTTGGAGTATGGACCAGAGTTGAAGGCAGATGGCTGGCATTGAGGCGTTAGTTCCTGATCTGCCTGCCATGTTGAAAAGGCTTTGGGACCCATCACTGGGAGAAGAGAGAAGGGCACTGCAGAGTCCCAAAGGGACACAGTCCAGACCTGTCCTCAGAGAGTGTGCACCCTAAGGAGGTGGGGGAGTGTGAAGCATGGAGGAGGAGGCAGTGTGGTGGAGGGGACAATGCCTGATGGGCAGGATGCTGCCATGTGGGCTCTGACCCGTGGGTCAGTGCTGGTCCCAAGCCTGGATAAGGCCTGGGGGTGCCCACTGGCATAATCAAATTAATAGCTTACAGTTATTAAGCACATATTCTGTTCCAGGCAAGGATCCAAGCACTTCTTTGGGATTAACACTCCCAGGAAATGGGAACCATTATTATGATTCTCAATTTACAGATGAGGGAACTGAGTCCCATAGAGGCCAAGAGGCTTGCTGGAGATCACACAGCTGCTGAGGATTCAAACAACCCCTGAGGGGCACCATAGGCCACGCCCCTAAACCTACCCACATGTCTCCAAAATGGAAGGCAGGCTGGAAGGGCACCTAGCAAGTGCTCAGTAAATACTGGCGGAATGAATGAACTCAACAAGTTTGTGATCGTCCAGAAATCTCTCCCAGCGGCCTCAGTGCCCACAGTCCCATCACTAGGAAATACTATGATTTTGCTGCCAGTGTCACCACCATCCAGCGTGCTTCTGTCCCGGGCACAGGAAAGGGTCACAACAGCTGACCTTGCAAGGAGAATGTCATCACCCCATTTTACAGAGAACACCGAGGTGAAGAGAGAGCTAGGAACCAGAACCCAGGTCCGACCGCACCACTCCAGACTGCCTGTGCAGCCTGCTGCCTTTTTAAAATGCAGGCGTCCTTGGGGAGGGTAGCGTGTTAAATGCCCCTGTCATTTACATCTGTGGATAGGGGTATTACTCAGCTGCTAAAGGTCACAATGCTGAGCTAAGGGGAAAGGCTTGGGGGTGTGTGAAAAGGATAAAGGAAGCCTGGTTTTGGAACACTGGGCGTTGAGAGAAAGCTGAGTGGGGTGGGTGCCAGAGAGAATGATGGGTGTGAAAGGGAAGTGGGGGTGGAGGTCAGAAAATAGACTTTCGGTACTTCCTAGTTATTTTTGTTTGTTTGGTTAGGGTTTTTTTTTTTTTTTTGCACTGTCTGCAACTTGAGAGGGAAGAGGTTGGTTGGCTCTGCTCCAGAGATATTGTGACCTCTGGGGACCTTGGCCCTTTCTGAAGCCACTGGTCCCCAGGGCTCTCTGCTGGGACACACTCTCATCTCTGCCTCTAGGCTGAGTGATAGGAAGGCTCAGATGGAGGCAGGCCCAGGACACTCTGTACCTGCAACTCCCACCATGATGGACAAGTGGAAACTAGCTGAACCCTTAAATGGAACAGACCTTGAAGTCCTCTGGGGCTGCCCAAGGCACAGAGGTGGCCCCATGATCTCTGAGGCCACAGGGCCGTCTGCAACCCAGAACTGGTCAAGGGCACAACTGATCGGGCCCCAAGCTCCCAAGCTGCCAGATGCTGCTCAGGCCAGGGACCCCCGGCCCCTGCAGGGATAGCCCTGGATGCCAGGGAAGGAATGATATCCGTCACTGAGCCCTACTGCGCGCACACACTCCTGCTAGACGCCTCACATGGTTCTGATGCAGTGCTCACCGCGGCAGAGGGAACAGGAGCTGGGGGTGAGCAGCTGCTCCAGAGGCACCCAGAGCTGGATTTGCTTGTTTGTTTGTTTTTCAGATAAATTATCTTACATTTAATCAATCAATATTACAAAGTGTTCGTGCTCCATACACCTCATAACATCCAGGTGTGAGGGTACCTATAAGAGGGGGGACTTGCAACCTCTGTCCTACAGGAGGGCTGCCCGAGGGCCCGTCCACAGAGCTCACTGGCCTGGCCTCCTGCAGGTCAGGGGCTGTGGACCCTTGACCGGCAGGCTTCTGAGTGCGGAGCACAGAACAGGGCTCCTCTCAGGCCTTCCTGTGAACTGCACGTGAACCTGCTTGGCAGTGGGACTTTTGTGGACATGGCTGTGTGCAGGCCTGCACCACGAGAGAGAGCTGGTCCCAGGGCTCGGAGGCCTGGCCTGGACTCAGGCGAGTGAGCCCCACTGCCTTGCAGCCAGGGGTACACGGAGCTGAGGGAAGAGAAGGGGGAGCAGCCCCGTGTACATAGCATATAACATTAGTTGCTGAGAGGGACAGAACAAAGACAGAGGCCAACAACCATCAGGCAGCTGAGAAACCAGAAATACAAATATAGCCTGGGCACTCGGGGGAAGCTATACAGACCCAGGTGCTCTCTTGTGCCAATTTGCCAGGGGAGGCCGAGGGGGCGGCAGGCCGTGTCCACAGGCCCTGGGCAGGGCTCATCCCCTGCCCGTCCATTCCCTCCCGGACCCGGGTGTGGCAGAGCAGAACAGGGCTGGTCAGAAAGGCAAACAGAAGCTCGAACATCCCCACTGCAGGCAGCAGACTGCGGCTCCGGGAGACTGGACCCGCAGAACCACGTCGCTTGTGCTGGTCCAGCAGCTGTTCCAGGAGCACGTCCTCAGTGCCGCTGAGCTCGACGTGGCACACTGTGCCCCAGAACCTGGAGTCTGAGCCTCGGTACCGTCTGCCAGGGTAGAGCTGCCACATCAAAGGCAGCGAGCTTGGGGGCAGCTGGCTGGGGCGCACAGCCTCCCCCTGGGGGATGTCTTCCTGACGCATGAGCATTGGACTCTACTTTCTATCTCGATGGTTACGGGCAGCCACGTGCGCCGGTTCTCGTCCATGTTCACAGACTTCCGCCAGACCCACAGGTGGTCTGGGTGCAAGTTCGTGTGCACCCTGAGCTGGAACTCACCCATGACACCTCGAACAGTCTAAGGAGCAAGAACTGCAGCCTCTCAAAGCCTCTCGCTTGTTCCAGAGCTGGATTTGAATCCAGGCTTGGCCGCTCTCGTCGCTGCTGCTGTCACCTTGCTGAGGGGAGTCCTGCCCCAGCCTCACCGCTTGTGGGCTCCTGCTGGCTCCTGAATGCCTCCCTCCTCTGCGGGCACTTCCTCCTTTGGCACCCTCATGCCCAGGTCAGAGATGGGATAGAGAGAAGGGCTGGGAGGGAAGGACAGAAAGGAGTCGGATGCAGCCCAGGGAATTCCCGGTGCTCTTTCTCCTCCACCGCTGGAACTAAACTGTCGGTGGGGCCTGAGGGTGTTGGAGGGCAGAGCCCAGCAGGACACCACCAGCTGTGACAGTTCAGCCATTGGGCCACTGTGGGGGTGGGGGACAAGCATGAAAGAGCTTGGTGGGACCTAGACAGGGACACGGTGCTCAGAACAAACCGTCTGGGACTTTTGGCCACTTCATTCTCACTTCCCCCAAGTCCTCCTGCAGGCCCACGAGACCTGGTAGGGTTTTCCATGATGCCGTCCTCCACGACACCCCTCGTCTCTGACTGGCTGGTTCCTCCATCTCTGGCCGCCCTGGCGGACCTAGGCTTTCTGGGCCCCCACGTGGGTTCTGCACCAGGAGCCTCCTCTGCGGGGCACTGCCGGGCTTTCTCATTCAGAGGCGGCAGGCGTGGTTGGATTCTCAGGGATCTCTGGGGTGGGATCTTTGGATGGGGCAAAGGGGGCTTCATCACAGGGGCTGGGGGCTGAGCTGGCAGCAGGTCCAGGGATCTGGGCTTCAGGGCTTGCCTGTGGCTGGGCCACAGAGTCCACCTGGGGCTGGGCTTCATGGTCTACCTGTGGCTGGGCCGTGGGGTTCGGCTGGGGCTGGGCCACAGAATCTGATGGTGGCTGGTCTGTGGAGTTTGGCTGAGGCTGAGCCACAGAATCTGATGGTGGCTGGGCCACAGAATCTGACGGTGGCTGGGCCATGGAGTTCGGCTGGGGCTGGGCCACAGAATCTGATGGTGGCTGGGCCACAGAATCTGACGGTGGCTGGGCCGTGGAGTTCGGCTGGGGCTGGGCCACAGAATCTGATGGTGGCTGGGCCGTGGAGTTCGGCTGGGGCTGGGCCACAGAATCTGACGGTGGCTGGGCCGTGGAGTTCGGCTGGGCCTGGGCCACAGAATCTGACGGTGGCTGGGCCGTGGAGTTCGGCTGGGGCTGGGCCACAGAATCTGACGGTGGCTGGGCCATGGAGTTCGGCTGGGGCTGGGCCACAGAATCTGACGGTGGCTGGGTCGTGGGGTTCGGCTGGGGCTGGGCCACAGAATCTGACGGTGGCTGGGCTGTGGAGTTTGGCTGGAGCTGGGCCACAGAATCCACCCGGGGCTGGGTCGTGGGGTTCTCCTGCAGCTGGGCTGTGAGGTTCACCTGTGTCTGGGCCTCAGCAGTTGGTCCCGGCAGAGTCTGTCCCGCCGAGTCCACTTGGGCTTGCGGCTCGGCCGGCGTGAAGCTGCCCGGCCGTTCTTCGCAGAGCGCTGCCGCGAAGGAGGAGAGCACGGTGCGCAGCAGGGCCCGCAGGTCCGCGCTGGCCAGGAGGCAGAGGAAGGGACTGAGGCAGCTGTTGAGCAGGATCAGGTAGTCGGAGTAGACAAGCACTTCCCATAGCAGGTAGCCTGGGTAGATGTCCCACAGGAAGGCCAGGTACAGCAGCTGTGCCAGCTGGTAGGGCAGCCGCAGGACCACGTAAGCTGACAAGATGGTCTTGGCCACCCGGGCAAAGCCGCGGCATGCCGCGGGTCTTGGCTGGCGGCGGCAGCAGGTCCTGCAGGCGGCGGCCTGGGTGAGCACGTGGCAGACGAGCAGCAGGAGGAAAGGCAGGAAGCCCCCCAGGATCTCCAGCATCCGCAGTGGCAGCTCCTCGCTGTCCCAGAAGTCCAGGCAGATGACCAGGTCGTACCACCAGACGACGGCCTCAGGAAAGACCAGCCAGGGTACACTGAAGAGTGTGGCCAGCACCCAGACCCCGGCGCAGACCCAGAGGGGCAGGCGGACCGGGCGGCGCCCAGGGTACCAGCGTGGGCAGAGCGCCAGCAGGCAACGGTCCAGGCTGAGGGCTGCCAGCAGGAAGAGGCCAGAGGAATAGGACACGCCCCACAGGAAGTAGTAGAAGCGGCACGCTGCTGTCCCCAGCGGCCAGTGCCCTCCATACTGGATCTCCATGATCTGGAAGACCGCTGCGGCCAGGAACAGAAAGTCAGAGAGAGCCAGGCTGAGCAGGAGCAGAGCCAGCCGCGTGCCTGCTCCCTGTCGGGCCTGCGAGCCAGCCAGCCATGCCATGACGGCGTTGGCCGGGAGCCCCAGGATCAGCAGAGCCACCAGGAAGACCGTGTCCCAGCTACCCTGGGGGTAGTAGTCCTCATCATCGAGCTCCGTGCGGGGCCCACGGCCAAAGACACCCAGGTTGGCTTCCATAGCAGTGTCCATCTGAAGTCCCCAGTATACCGCTGGACACGGAGGGTGCCTGATAAATCAATGGAGGCATGAATGGTGGTATGAGAAAGTGCTGCGCATCTCCAGGCAAGTCCCTGACCCTCCCTGGGCATCATCATCACCTTTCGGGTAATTACCCTTTGCCACGGACTTTAATGGATTACCTCACTTAGTCCTCATGCAATCCATTTTCAGGTGATGAGAGGGAAATTCAGAGGGTCAGTGACTTGCCCACGGTCAGAGGTAGGAAGGAAGACGCCAGGACTTGAACTCAGACCTGACCACTCTGCCATTCGGAATCCCAGTGTGTCCCAGTAGACGAAACCAGAGGTTTTATGTCATATTTTTAAAGCTGGTGAATCTTTTCTTTAAGTAACTATTAGAGTGGAATTCCAACGAACTAAAGGGAGGACTAAGACTAAAGGAAAGAGAGTACCCCCAGGGCCCCAGGGAACACAGTTTAAAAACCACCTGGTCAGATCATTGTAGGCCCCTTTTTGTCTGGTATCCTGGGGTTGAAGTGTTTAAGATTCCAAAACAGAGGCTCAGGTCCCATGGGTGCACAGGAATTCAAGGGTGAGAGAGTCTGGGGCTGAGTAGGCCCCTCCCCCAGCGAGTACAGCTCAGTGACCTCAGGGTGAGGTCCGCAGCTCAGGGCCCCAGTGGCCTGCGGCCAGGAGGGCTGTCCTGGGAGCAACTTGAGCCTCTTCATCATTCTCCAGCCCCACGGTGGCGGCCCTCTCCCCGTTCTCACAGCTCAGACAGAGGGGCCCCCACTTGTCCTCTGCGGCTACTACGCAGAGAAGGGGGCTCCGCAGTGTGATGAGGATGAGGGTGGCTGCTACCCCCACTTTCCTCACCGGTGGAGCGAGTTTCCCTTTGAGAACAGAGAGCCCCGATGGGAGCGTGGAGTCAGGGGATGAAACTGATGCCACTGAAAGGCTGGGTCCCACCTGTGGCCCGTGGCCCCAGCCACTTGGCCTTCAGCCCAGTGGCCTCCCCACAAGTGCCCACCCAGGGCTCTTCCTCAGGCAGACCCCACTCCGCAAGCTCCAGCCCCTGCTGGGTCAGAGCCCTGGCTTGGCTTACCTGTGAGGTAAGGCTGCTGGCCGGAAGGAGCAGGGCGTGCCTGGCTGCCCAGAGGTCCAGCTGTCTGCAGGGCCCACACCTGGGCCTGCTGCATGGCACCCGGCGGCGCTAAGGCGGCCTGCATGAAACCCAAGCTGAGAGGACATCAATCATTCATGGGGCTGCTCACCAGGAAACCCTAACCCGGGCCCAGTAGGACCAAGTGACCGGCCGGGCCCCACGTTCTTGAAAATGCCAGATGGCCGGAACCCCCGCACTCTGGGTCTCTCCAGCACAGTGTAGGCTCTGGAAGCCCCAGGTTCTACCTCCTCTGACCTCACCCCCATGCCCCTAAACCCAGCATTCAAGGCCTCTCTTCCTCAATTTCACACACCCTCTGCTCCAGCCAGGACGCCACCTGTGAGGGGCTGCGGCGGGCAGTTCGTCCTGCATTGCCCCTCCCGCCTTTGCCCACACTGAGATGCCTTTTGTCTGAGATGCTGTCCCTTGTCCTCTCTTAGCTAAGTTCTGCCCGTGTCACACAACTGGGCTGAGTCCTCGACTCTTCAGCAATATCTCCCCCATTTTATAGATAAGTCATCTGAGGCTTGGAGATGAATTTGCTGGGCCTCCCAGTTCATAAGTGGGCAGAGTTGTATTCTGAAGCTCATGACAGCCACCGTGTTCTGAGACGGGTCCTCTTGACCCATCTGGTTCTGCCCTGGCCAAATGGGGCAGAGGGCCCGGATTAGGGCCCGGGCTGCCTGCCTCACTTAGCCTAATCCCTCTCAGGGCAGATCCCAGGCCACCAGCTCTCAGGGTCTCTAAGCAGCTTGACGGGTCCTGAGAGCCAAGGGTGCTTCCTTGTGCTGCCTCTCTGCGCCCCGTCCCCGTCTCCACATGGCCACAGAGCAAGTGAGGGGGCAGCATGGCCCAGCCCGGGCCCCCAGCCCCCAGAAGCCCCCTGTGGGGGTCGTGGCTCCCAGGAGTGGTGCTGAGGGACAACCCTTGACCAGGAGGAGAAGCAGGAGGGAGAGGGGGCCCCAAGGGTCCCGGAAAGGTGCTGACAGCTCTGGGAGGCAGACCCCGATCCAGTGCCCCGAGGCCCCAGCGAGCAGCAAGAACCCCTCGAGGCCAGGAGGACAGGAGGAGCCAGCACCTGCGGCGCCCGGGCCAGCCTCTCGTCGCCAGTCCCACCGGCATCGTCCTGCCTCCCAGCATGATGCTGCTCAGAAGACATATGGGCCCCTGCTCAACCGCATCTTTGGGAAGGTGAGACAGGGCCTGGGAGTGGGGGTGGGGACTTGTGCCCTCAGGTTCAGCCCACCCTGCCCCAGAGCTCAGGCCTCTAGCCGCTCCCGCAGGGACTCTGGAGCCTGGCTATTCAGTAAGGTTTCTGGAAGGGTAGGTCTTGGGCCGGCCTGGGCAGAGGGAGCTAGACCTCAAACCCAAGGTTCTGTGAGAGTTCAGGGCCCCAGGAGCAGCAAGGGGGTGTGTCTTTCCTGGAGCCCACCGGACTTCAACCACCTCCCCCTGCCCTTGTGGAACTGGCCCTGCCCAGGCCAGTGTGGGTGGGGTTGGAGGAAGATGGCCAGAGTCCTGGCTGGCCTTGGGGACATGCTGGACTATGCCCTGCAGGACCGAGAGCTGGGCCCCGAGGAGCTGGATGGTGAGTGATCCTTGCTGGCGGCAGCGGGTGGGAGGTGTCCCTGAGCCTGGCTCCTGGTCCTGACCACCCTCCCCTGCAGAGCTTCAGGCCGCCTTTGAGGAGTTTGACAGTGACCGTGACGGCTACATCGGCTACCGGGAGCTGGGCGCCTGCATGCGGACGCTGGGCTACATGCCCACTGAGATGGAGCTCATCGAGGTCTCCCAGCACGTCAAGATGCGAAGTCAGTGCCTGACGCCACCCCCAAGCGTTCAGCGAGGGGGATGGAGGTGGGGCAGGGCGGAGAGATGACAATGTCCAGGACAGTTTGACAGGTTGACATTGGCCCCTTAAGATGCAGGGACACCGGGGGATAAGGAAGGCACTGGGGCTCCAAGGGAGGCCCTTGGGGCTCCATGGGGACTTAGGTTGAAGAACCCCGCCTCTGACCTCGTCACAAAGTGCTTCTTGCCAGTACTGGCCACCTCACTCTGTCTCTGTTTCTGCCTGTCTCTCTCTGTGGCTCCTACAAAGAGCCTCCTGAGGTTCAGCGAGGCCTAGTGTGACAGAATCCTGGCTGTTCCCTGTGCTTAGATGTAGGATGGGTGGACCCCGTGCTTTTCGTTAGCTGGTTCTCTCCATTCCACGACACTGCGCTGGCTTTTTCTTTTCTTTTTTTTTTTCTTTTATTTATTTTTTTATCCTCACCTGAGGACATTTTTCCATTTTTTTGTTCAGATAGAGCGGGAGGGAGAGAGAGGAAGAGAGAGAGAGAGAAACATTGATGTGAAGGGACACATCGAGTGGCTGCCACCCGCACGACCAACCAGGGCCGGGGACAAACTGCAACCGAGGTACATGCCCTTAGCGGGAACCGAACCCGGGTCTCTCAGTACCGCAGGCCGACGCTCTAACCGCTGCGCCAAACTGGCCAGGGCTGCGCTGGCTTTTTCTTTACGGCTCCAGAGCGGGATGTGATTGATTGATCAACTGATTTTTGTTAATCCTCACTGGAGGATATTTTTTTCCCTTTGATTTTTAGAGAGAGTGGAAAGGAAGAAGGGAATGGGAGAAAGAAAGAGAGGGAGGGAGAGCCCTGGCCGTTTTTGCTCAGTGGTTAGAGCGTCGGCCCACGGACCAGAGAGTCCTGGGTTCGGTTCCCGCTAAAGGCATGTAACTCGGTTGCAGTTTGTCCCCGGCCCCAGTTGGGGTCATGTGGGTGGCGACCACTAGATGTGTCTCTCTCACATCTATGTTTCTCTCTCTCTCTCCCTCCCACTCTATCGATGATAAATGCAAAAAAAAAAAAAAAAGAGAGAGGGAGGGAGGGAGAGAGGAAGAGAGAGAGGGAAACATCAATGTGAGAGACACTCACTGCCTATGGTGGCCGGGAATCAAACCTGCAACCAAGGGTGTGCTCTTGACCAGGGATTGAACCTGAGACTCTTGTGCTCGGGCCGACACTCTAACCACGGAGCCACACCGGCCAGGCCGGGATGTTATTTACAATTGATGTGAACATTTCGGTTCATGCTTCTTTTCTTTCCCCAAAGCTGTTATTTGATCATCAGTGTTTTTTATACTTGATGGCACCTTAGAACAGAGGGGTGACACGGGTATGCTTCTTTCTTTTTTTATCCTCACCCGAGGACATTTTTCCATTTTTTGTTCAGATAGAGTGGGAGGGAGAGAGAGGAAGAGAGAGAGAGAGAAACATCGATGTGAAGGGACACATCGAGTGGCTGCCACCCTCACGACCAACCAGGGCCGGGGACAAACTGCAACCGAGGTACATGCCCTTAGCGGGAACCGAACCCGGGTCTCTCTGTACCGCAGGCCGATGCTCCAACCACTGAGCCAAACCGGCCAGGGCTCTTTCTTTTTTTTTAATGACATTTAGATTAGTTAACTTTTTTATTCTTTTTAAAAAATATGTTTTTATTGACTTTTTGGAGAGAGAGAGAAGGGAGAGAGAGAGAACACTGATGTGAGAGAGAAATATCGATCGACCGCCTCCTGCACGCCCCACACTGGGGATCGAGCCTGCAACTGAAGCATGTGCCCTGACCGGGAATTGAACCGGGACCTCTCAGTCCATGGGACAATGCTCAGTCCACTGAGCCACACCAGCTTGGCATGGATATGCTTCTTTAAAGGTATTTATCACCCTGGCAGGTTTGGCTCAGCGGTTGGAGTGTTGGCCCGCGGACCAGAGAGTCTGGGGTTCAGTTCCCGCTAAGGGCACGTACCTCGGCTGCAGTTTGTCCCCGGCCCCAGTGGGGTGATGCGGGTGGCAGCCACTCGATGTGTCTCTCTCACATCGATGTTTCTCTCTCTCTCTCTTTGTCCCTCTCTCCCTCCTGCTCTATCTGAAGATGAATGCAAAAATGTCCTCGGGTGAGGAGAAAATAAATAAATAAATACAATAAAGGCAGCCCACAGGGGTCCACAGACGTGCTGGCCAGGAACCCCAGCGCCAGGAGCACCCAGGAGCAGGTTCTCTCGTCCCGGCTTAGGATAAGGAAGGCAGTTTAGGCAGTCATCCAAGGCCACGCACCATCAGCAGCAGAGCCAGGGTTCGGACCAGGGGCTGCCTGGTTCCACAGCCTGGCTTCTTTCCCCCACAGCTGGGTGCTTCACTGAGTGTACTCCCAGCGGAAAGTGGGGGTCCTGCCTCCTGCCCCGAGGGCGTTCTTTCCTTAATGCAGAGCCAGGAGGGAGTGGCCCTGTGAGTCTCTCCCTGGGCGCTAGCCCTCCATTATGATACTCTGTTTGGGTCCACAGTGGGTGGCCGTGTGGACTTCGAGGAATTTGTGGAACTGATGGGCCCAAAGCTGAGAGAGGAGACGGCGCACATGCTGGGGGTGCGGGAGCTGCGCATGGCCTTCCGAGAGGTGTGGGCATGGATGGCATGGTGAGGCGGGCGGTGCGTGGGCGGCTGGATGCCATCCTTCCTGGCCTCCCACCCCAGCCAGGGGAGACAGAGACGGGGACCTCAGCCTCTGGAGGCCCAGAGCCCTGCAGATGCAGAATGAGGGCCAGGGAGGGGTTGGACTTCCTGGAACGGGCGGGGAGGGTTGGGGCTATGGAAGGTAGGGGCATTAAGCACAGCACACGGTAAGGTGGAGACGGCTTTGGGTGGGAGGGCTGAGCCCTGCTGGGATCCTAGTTTGACAGGGACAGGGACGGACGAATCACAGTGGCAGAGCTGCGACAGGCAGCACCAGCTCTCCTCGGGGAGCCGCTGGCGGATCCTGACCTGGATGAGATGCTCCGAAATGTGGACCTCAACGGGGATGGCACCGTAGACTTTGATGGTAAGTGTCCTTCCCAGATAACCCCGCACCCCCACCCCTCCAGCTCCCAGGCCGAGCCCAGCACCTCTTGGGATCCATGACCTGGACGGGCCCTTCTCTCCTGCAGAGTTTGTGATGATGCTTTTCACCCCCTGAGGCTCCAGCAGATTTTCACCTGCCGGCCCCAGACCAGCAGGGTTCACGCTGCATACCCTCCCCACGGGGCCCCAGGATGGAAGAGACCAGCAGCCCCCAGGCTTCTTGTGCCCCTGACAACATCTGGCTGGAGAGTTGGCTTGTCACCTGCCCACCCTCATCTTCACCTCCTCCCCACCCAAAGTGCTCAACTGCCTGTCATTCCCCAGTGTGAGCGAGATTTGAACCTTTCCAGTCCCTTGGGAGGGAAGTAGGCCGCCACCTGGCACTGGCAGCATTAAAACATGGGGCAGTTTTGCCCTGGCCAGTGTGGCTCAGTTGGTTGGTCATCTTGCACACCAAAAAGTTGCCAGTTGGATTCCTGGTCAGGGCACATGCCCAGGTTTCCAGCTTGATCCCCAGTAGGGGGCGTGCAGGAGGCAGCCAATGGAGGTTCTGCTCTCACATCGATGTTTCTCTCCCTCTCCCTCCCTCCCTTTCACTCTATCTAAAAATCAATGGAAAAATATCCTCAGGTGAGGATTCACAACAGCGACAATAACAAAAGTCATTGAGAGTCTCAAAAGGAAAAAATATAGAGAATGGGCATGAGGCAGTATTCAGAGAGATGATGGTTTTCCACAAAGACAAGTGCTCAGACTGAAGAACACTGGAGCCAGAGGAGAGTAATTAAACTGAAATGTACATCTAGCCGCACTGCAGTGGAACTGCGGAATACAAAAGGAAGTGAAAGGGGTTCCCACCCACAGACTCTCATTGAAGGAATGGCTTTAGTAGGAAGGAAATTCAGTCCAGAATGAAGGCAGAGTATGTACTAAATAATAGGAAAGAAACCAGTGAACACATTGGTAGATTTAAAGAAGCATTTACCATTAAAAATTAATTTGGGTGATTTTTAAAACAAAGAGGGACTAAGATAATAGACCAAACAAAATGGAAGGTGGGAGGGGATGCTTTAGACATGCTGAAATGTTCTCCTAGAGGACAGATTAATTGATTAACTTTAGATGTTTTTTAATCGTTTAAGAGTAACCATTAGTATAATGTAAATAGAGATAGAATGTTCCACTCAATAAAAGAGGAAAAGGGGCAGAGGGAAGAGTTCTTGATTAAGCCAGTAAAGGCTAGGAAAGGGGGGGAAGCAATAAAAAACAAAATCTGTAGAAAACATTAAAACGGAAGGTAGATTCCTGAAAAAAAAAAAAATTACATTAAATATAAAAGATTATGTTTGTCAGTTAAAAGTATGAGTCTCAGTCCCAGAAGAAAGTATCAATATTAGGATGGGTTCCCTTGCGCGACAAGGAACCAAAACAGCAAAGCCTTAAACTGGGTAGAAGTTTATTTCCCTCACAGGAAGTCCTAGTTGAAATCCAGCTCTATGGTGTTCAGGGACCCAGGCTTCTTCTGCTGGGTGCTCAGACACTCCTAGGGGGTGCCCACATTTGTTTTCCAGGTGGCAGGAACAAAAACAAAAGGAGGCAAAGAACATGAACCATATAATTATACCCCATTAGGCAGGACTCATCTCCTGGCATACCTAGATGCAAAGGATGCTGGGAAATGCAATCCTTGTTTTGGGTGGCCATGTGCTCATCTAAAAACCAAAGGCTCTACAGCTACGAGGGCAGAGAGTGAACACCAAAGGGCAGATATCAGACTCTTCCCACAGCTGCTGCAGGATATGGGAGACACAGTCAAAGCATAATGACAACTGAAAGGCGGAAAGGGATAACCTGGAAAAAAGATTTACTAGGAGAAAATGAACCCAAAGAAAGCATGACATATGAGGCGAAAAGCATTAGGGAGAGAGTCACGATTCACTAAGGAAATCTAATGTTCCTAATGTATGCAGTTAGTGGCATATTTTCCAACTAAAAACAAAGTATACTTAAGAGTTTAGATATTATTCATTATTCTCTGAGGATAGTGTTGCTGTCAATCCAACTTGGATGACATAAATTAGCCGGCAAAAACCAAGCACACTGGCTACATTAAACTATGAAATGTTTCAATTGGGTGTTGTGTCAAAGGGTTTGTATAGCTCAGGGGTTGGCAGATGTTTTCTGCAAAGGGCTGGACAGCGAAGATCTGAGGCTCTGAGGCTCGGAGGACCACGTGGCGTCTGCTGCAGCCGCGTACTGCACTGTTGGCGCTGTCACACGTGTGGCCAGGCAGCGAGTCCGCGTGTGCACAAACAGGTGTGGCCGCATTGGAACTTTAATAAAGAAGAATTAATTAAACTTGATTTGTTGACACTGGAGTTTGAACTCTGTAAACGTTTATGTATCACAAAAATCTTATTCTATTATGCTATATCTATTAACCATTACAAAAATGTGAAGACCCTTCCTAGCTTGGGGGCTCTATCGGGCCTGTGGACTGTGGCGTGTTGACTCCTGCTACAATCTCGTCATATGGAGAATCACCACTTTGGGGCTAACTTTGCTAAGACTCTGGAATGACAAAAAGTTATGAGCGCCCTGGCCAGGAAGCTCAATTGAGTAGAGCATTGTCCCGATATGCCAAGGTTTCAGGTTCAATCCCCAGTCAGGGCACATACAAGAATCAATCAATGAATGTATAAGTAAGTGGAATAACATATTGATGATGTCTCTCTCTCTGTCTCTCCCTTCCTCTAAGAACAATAAATGAAAATCAGAAGGAAAAAAGTTATGAGCCTACTATTGCTTACTTTTAACGAATGCTTTTGTGATTTTTCTTTTTTTCCTATGTTTGTTCTAATTATATTTATTAAAATGTATTTTTTCTTTCTTTATTGATTTCAGAGAGAGAGGAAGGGAGAGAGAGAGAGAGAAACATCGATGAGAGAGAACATCCACTGGCCACCTCCTGCACGCCCCCCACTGGCCCACAACCTGGGCTTGTGCCCTGACTGGGAATTGAACCAGTGACCTCTTGCTGCATGAGTCGATGCTCAACCACTGAGCCACACCAGTTGGGCTGAAATGTAATTTTTTTTTTATCTTCACCCAAGGACATTTTTGCATTTATCTTTAGATAGAGGGGGGAAGAGAGAGAGAAACATCGATGTGAGAGAAACACATTGACTGGCTGCCACCTACACGATCCCAACAGGGCCGGGGACAAACTGCAATCGAGGTACGTGCCCCTATCGGGAACCGAACCTGGGACTCTCTGGTCCGTGGGCTGACGCTCTAACCGCTGAGCCAAATTGACCAGCGCTGAAATGTAATTTTATGTCTGATTAATCTGGCCATACAAACTGTGGGCTTGAGTTTGTATATCTTTGTTTTTTATTTCACTTTTCTAGTTTTTATCTTCAAGCATATGCTCATGACAAAATTAGAAATGAAAATTGTTTTTTATTTCAGCTAGTTTGAGAACCAGTGATTTAGGAGTCCCTGCATCCCAGTGGTACTCCCAAAGTGCCTTGCACAGAGGGCCAAGGGCTGGAAGTCTGGTGGGCCAGGAGAGCAGCTGCAAGAGCAGGGTCTGCGGGTTCATTTTTCTCATCAAAGTCACAGAAATCCGAACGCACTGTCCTGACTACTGCATCCACAGTGGAGGCCAAGTCTCTTGTTTTTTTTTTGTTTTTTTTTTTGTTAATCCTCACCTGAGGATATTTTTTCCACTGATATATATATATATATTTTGTTTGTTTGTTTTGTTTTTGTTTTAGAGAGTGGAAAGGAGGAGGAGAGAGAAACATCAATGTGAGACACATCAACTGGTTGTCTCCCACACATGTCCCAGAGGGGCTGGGGATCAAATCTGCAACCCAGGTACATGCTCCTGACAGGGAATCAAACCTGAGACCCTTCTGTGTACGGGCTAACACTGATGAACCAAACTGGCCAGGGCCAAGTCTCTTTTCTTTTTTTTGTAATATGTTTTATTTATTTATTTTAGAGAGAGAGGAAGGGAGAGGAAGAGATAGAAACATCGATGAGAGAGAACATTGATTGGCTGCCTCCTGCATGCCCCCCTCTGGGGATTTGGCTCACAACTTGGGCATGTGTCTGGACTGGTGACCTCTTGGTGCATGGGTTGACACTCAACAACTAAGCCACACCAGCCGGGCCAAGTCTCTTTTTATTTTATTTATTCTCACCCGAGGACTTTTTTTCCATTTTTTGTTCAGATAGAGTGGGAGGGAGAGAGAGGAAGAGAGAGAGAGAGAAACTGGCTGCCACCCACACGACCCAACCAGGGCCAGGGACAAACTGCAACCGAGGTACGTGCCCTTAGCGGGAACCAAACCTGGGTCTCTCTGGACCACAGGCCAACGCTCAACCACTGAGCCACACCAGCCAGGCCAAGTCTCTTTTTAATGGCACTCATGTTTTCCTGGGGGAGACAGACTGTTAATACAGAATTACAGGAACAAGGTCTCATTAGCCCACACGTGTTCATTCAGCCCCTTGGTTGCCCAGTTGGTGACCACCAGCTCAGTGCCCTCTTCCTCCCCACGGTGTCATGGAACCAAAGGGTGATGTTCCTAACTTTGCCCTGGGTCTGTTTCCTCATCTGTAAGATGGGGCTGAGGAACCGAGGACCAGAGATAACCTGTGTTAAGTGTTAGCACAGGCCCTGGGCCTTCTAAGAGTTTGATAAATGGTAGCTATTATGATCTCAGATTTCAGGGTTCTCAAAGATTTTGTTTCCTGGTTCTTAAGATTCTAAGATACTTGGATTTTTCAAAATCCTGAGATGATCTGTTCCCAATGTTCTGTGGTTCTAAGAGTCTTTGATCACTGAAGTTCACTATCAAAAGGCCCTAGATCCCATGTCCTTTGTCTCCTATTTCTCCCAACCCCTGGGCCTGGAAGTAGGGCAGTGGGTGGAGGGGGCTGGGCCACCGCCTTGGCACGGCCCACATTCCGAGCTGGATGTGGCAGCCCGGGGCCCCAGAGCCAGACTGGAACCAGGATAGCAGCCTCCAGGCCCAGGCCTGTGTCGTCTGAATGCCCTTGGCCAGCGCAGGTACCAATGCTGCCCCTACAGGTGGAAATGGGCAGGTAGACAGCGCTGTGTCGGACCCAGCCCTGTCCCCACGGCACAGCTTCGGTGAGGCTGGCGGCGTCCAGGGCGGTCCACCGTACAAAGCGGAGATGGGAGGGTCTGGCGCCCTTCGGCCCCAGGGCCCGCCTTCGCGGGGGAGTGGGTGGCATGGCCAGGCTGACGGGCAGACTGGAAGGAAAGAGCAATCCTCTGCGGGATATAAGTACATCTTTTATTAGCACGAACACCACCAACTCAGTAGCCTCAGGGCCCGGGAATAAGTTAAGGCACAGAGCAGGCAAGGAGCGACCTTCCCAGACCCAGGTAGTGGGCCCGAGTCTGTGCACCCTAAACTTCCTGAGCAAACTCCGTACAGGGTTGGGGGTTTGAGGGTTCTGGAGGGGCCCTTCTGTTGAGATGAGGGAACTGGGGCAGCGGGGCAGCACGGCCGAGGAGCCCGAGGAGCGTCTCCTGGGGACGAGGCGGCGGCCAGGGGCCGACGAGGGCCCCCGCCCCCGCTGGCGGCTCACTTCTCGAAGTAGGGCAGGTAGAAGAACTGGAAACCCCGGTGGCCCTTGACCGCGCAGTAAATGAAGATCACGTGGTAGACTGCGGGGCGGGGCCAGTCAGTGCCGAAGCCCCGCCCCGTCTCAGCCCCCCTCCCCCCCCCCCTGGCCCCGCCCGGCCCCTCTCACCTCCTGGGACCAACAACAGGAAGCCGGGCACGAAGAAGATGGCGCTGGAGACACCTTCGGGACGAGAGGAGGGGCCGAGTCAGGGCGGAGGCACCTTCTGCAGTGGAAGGGGCCGGTTCTGGCTGGGAGGGTGGTGAGTAATGGGAGGAGTGAGGGCTTGCCAAGGATCCCGGGCGGGGAGGGGCGCTGCCTGGGAGGTGAGGGGGCGCTCACCTGGTGAGGGAGCCACCTCCAGTCCCACGCCGATCAGGATCAGCACTGCACACAGATGGGGCCGCACGGGTGAGGGCGGGAGCAGGGGGCAGGAGCTGGGCCCTCCCACCGCAACCCCCAACTGTGGCTTAGGCAGAGGAATGGTGTTCCCCCACCTGGGCAGAGACCCTCCCTGGGGCAAGGCCTCTGGCAGGCCCTGGAAAATGTCTGTAAGGAGAGACTTGTATCTGCCCTTTGATGTGGCCCTTTTTTTTTTTAATCCTCACCCGAGGGACATTTTTCCATTTTTTTGTTCAGAGTGGGAGGGAGAGAGAGGAAGAGAGAGAGAGAAACATCGACGTGAAAGGGTCACATCGAGTGGCTGCCACCCACACGACCCACCAGGGCCAGGGACAAACTGCAACCGAGGTACGTGCCCTTAGCAGGAACTGAGCCAGGGTCTCTCTGGACCGCAGGCCGAGGCTCTAACCGCTGAGCCAAACCGGCCTGGGCTTGATGTGGCCTTTCAGTCAACAAACATTCATGGAGCACCTGGTGCTGGGAATCCCTGGGGGCTGCAGGGAGAGGAAGATAAGGTCCCTGCACTCAAGGCCCTTTCCTAGTAGAGCAACCCACGAGAACCTCCAAGCGGCTACCCCAGTGGTCAGGACAGGAGGCGTCAGATCGGACAGCGTGGGAGCCTGGGGGGTGGGGGAGGAGCTTCCTGGAGGCGGAGGCCTGTAAGCTGAGCAGCGGTAGCAGCAGCAATAGCAGTTGACATTTAGCGACCACCTACCAGGTGCTGCCAGACACTGGGTTAAGCGTGTTACATGCACACCTTATTCAATTGTCACGGAATGAGGCAGGTATTATCCCTATTTCACAGAAGATGAAACTGAGGCACAGAGGGAAAGTAACTTGCTCAGGGCTGTACTTGGAAAGTGGTGCAACCTGACTAGAGCTTTGCCAGGGGCCTCATGCAGGCAGAGGGAAAGGAGTACTCCAGACAGAGGGAAGTCTGGAGGGAACTCAGGCTTTCTAGGAGCGTCCAGCTTTGGGTGGGACTGCAGAGACAAGAGCCTGGGCTTGAGGAGTTTGCAGGCCCTGGGTACGAATGTGAACTTTGGCTGAGGACAGTGGGCGTTGGGGAAGGTGGTCACAGTTGTATCAACTTTCCAGGCCCAGAGAGAGTCCTGGGTCCCCAGGTAGAGGATGGGTTGGGGAGAGGTGGGGAGCTGGGCTTTGCAGCAATGGGGGTGGAGGGGTACAGCACAGAGGTTTGAGGGACCACTATGAACTGCTATGTGGTTTGTGCCCTGTACAGAGCACCTCAAAAAGGATATAATGGGGGCTGAAACTCATTCCCTGCACCTTGGCTTAGGGCTGTGGGCTTTGCCCACTCAGAGTAGGCATCTTTTTCTAACTCCTACAAAGGCCCTGTATGGGCCTGTGGTGGCCCCCAGGCCTGGCAATGTCATTGATGTGGGTTTAAAGCCCAGCTCGTCTACTTCTTAGCTGTGACCTGAGGAAGTCCCCTCACCTGCCCGAGTCCTTATTTCTGGACAGGGATGGTAATTATGCTTGCCCTGTTGGGTGCTGAGAGAGAGGAAAAATGATAAGGCAGGTGGCTAGTGTGACCAGAGCCTGTGTGCCAGTGCTGGGGAAGTGGTAGCTCCCTCCTCTGCACACAGACACCCAGAGCTGAGGCAAGGACGCTGCTCAGCTTTCTGTCCAGGGGACTTGACCTTCCGGGAGGAGGGAGGGCAGCTGCCACAGTGGGGGCCCAATCCTAGAACCCTTGATCCCAATCCTAGAACCCTTCTGGAGACCCTGACTCCTCAGCCCCCTAGAATGAAAAGTACGGGAGTAAGAAAACGTCTGGCTGTGAGATCTGCCTGCTCTGGGCCTCAGTTTTCTCATCTGAGCAATGGGGGTGAAAAAGAGGTCCTTGTTAGCTCTCTAGAGAAGGGAGAGTGACAGGTGCCCTGTGGATCAGGCTGGCAGGGCACTCAGCATCCCTGGCCATGGGAATGGGCATCTCCCTGAGCACCTGGTCCTACACTCAGGATTTGGATCACAGATCTGCCCTTTCCTTGCTGTGTGACTTTAAGGTGAGAAAAATTAGCCTGCCCTGCACCCAGTTTGAAGACACTGAGTAAATGGATTAAACAGGCTAAATTACCAAAAAAAAAAAGCCTGGAACACTGAACCAGGTTCCATTTTCAACTAAGTGTGATTTCCTGGCTGCGTGACCAGGAAGCTGGGCCTGCCCCTCTCAAGGCCTCAGTTTCCTCACCTGTAAAACGGGTGGGATGATGGTAGCCAGCTGCCTCCTAGGATGCTGGGAGGCTCAGTGTGCCAAGGAAATGCAGAGCCTGTAGAGGAGGGCAGACCCCTCCCGGGCTCTCAGCGACACTCACCTAGCCCCAGCAGCAAAAGCAGGAAGGAGGCCAGCACTACCCTGCGGTTCTTCTGGATCAAAGGGTGTTGAGTCCAGCTGCATAGCAGGAGAGCAGGATGGGTGAAAAAGGTGACAGGGGCCCACCCTTCTGTCATCCTCCCCAACCAAGACTGCTGAGAGGAACAGCCAGGGCTGCCTGCACTGGGGCTCTGCCCCAGGTGGCTCAAGGGAGACGGGATCTCACCTGCAGCAGGCATTGTAGGAGCGCTGGGTGCTGTTGCTAATGGTGCTAAAGGACCACTGGGAGCTTCGGACAGATGTTCGGCCAGAATCCCTGCAGGACAGGTGGACCAGTGAAAGAGAAGGGCGAGGCAAGGAAGGGGTCCCTTTGGGCTAGGAGTCATGATGATGGCGGGGGAGGGGGAGGGACTAGGGCTGGGTATTCCTGTAGGATAGAAGCACTGATGGGATGAGGTGAAGAGGAATTCAAGGGCTGGGCGTTTCTGCAGGACTGGGGTGGAGGGGTGGAGATTCAAGCTGGGAATTCCTGCAGGACAAAGGAACCCAGAAGAGGAGTGGGGAATCCTTGCAGGGCAGGATGTGAGAGCCCAGTGAGGTGACGTGGAGGACTGAACTGGAAACAGGCACAGCAATAGGGGTATGGGGTGGGTCCCCACCTGGCCCTGACCTGGTGCTGACTCCCCCATCTGGCTCCGGAGATGCCTGGGCTCCATCCTCATCGTTCTCCAGGTTCTATTCCAGAACACAGGGCTCATGGGTTACTGAGCTCAGGCCCTCCCTCACTCCCCCGTCTCAGGGAGAGGAGGAAAGCAAGCCTACCCAGCTGTTTGCCTAGCTGCTTGACAGCTGCTCACCTGGCCCCTCCTCCCTCCCCGGAGAGCAGCTGGGTTTGATGATTCACAAACCGAAACCAGGTAGTATGTGGGAGCTGGAAGCTTTGGATGGCAGGAGTGCAGGGGTCCCAGGGCCAGGAGATACCCAAGGTTTGGGAGTCAAACTGTCAGGATGGTATTTCAGGGGTCCAATATGGAAGCTCTGGATTTGGGGTGTCAGGGACGGGCAGGCCCATGGTTTCCAGGTTTGGGACACAGAAATCTGGTCCAGGTCTCCAAGAAAAAGTTCCTAGAGTTGTTGGAGATTCATCTGGGAAAATGGGGATTTCCAGTTTGGTGGCAGTCAAGATGTGGGCAAGGACTCATGTGAGTGGGGGCCCCCAGCTCTGGGGGAAAGGATGGAGTGAAGACTTCTAGAACAGAAGAGGGGGTGCAGGTTCCTGTCAGATCATCCAGCCTGGAGCTCAGGGAACTGCCACTGAATATGGACACGGTCTGGGGTTCAGGTACAGAAGGGCTCCCCTGACCCCCTCCTAGTATCTGAGGAACGAGGGGGATCAGTACCCAGGACGGGTGAGGACTCCAGCTGGGGTGGGAGGGAGCTCCCGATCCCGTCTCTGGGCTCTCAAGTGATGGCTGGGGACCCCAATCAGAGCTGAGGGTCTGGGCAGGGCTCTCGATCAGTGGCCACGTCGGGGGGCGGTCTCCCACTCCGGCTAGGGCCCCTGGACAGATTCTCCCCGGAGCCGGGGTCCTCCAGGGTCCGGTCTGGGGCCCTGCCCCGAGCCGGGCGGGGGGTGAGGAGGGCCGGGCCGGTCACCTGGTAGCGCAGCCGGGACTGCTTGTCCTCGTCGGCCGCCTCGAACCGCGCCCGGCGTTCGAAGTGCAGCGGCCCGAAGCGGGCGACCCCGCTGGACTCGGGCCCGGGGCCCGCGTCCTCCAGAGACAGCTCGAAGGCGTCATCGATGCTGAACTGGGGCCGGGCGGCGCTCATGGCCCCGCCAGGTCAGGCACCCCGCGCCGCCGCCATCCGCGCCGCAGCCCGGCCTCGCCGTGGCCCCGCCCCCGCACGCAGGCCTCGCCTGGCGCCGTCGTCCAGGGAGCCCGGCGCCTCCGGCCAGGCCCCGCCCCCGCGCAGCGGCCCCGCCCCCGCCCGCCCTCCGCAGGCCAGAGCTGCCGAGCGCCGAGCGGACTAGCGGGCGGGGCCTCCGCTCGTTCGGCCCGCGCTGCGCCCCGAGTGCCGCCCAGTGGTCGCCTTCGCAAGCGGCAGCCGGAGCCGGTTCGGACGCGGTGCCCACGTCTGTGCCCTGGGCTTGGAGGGCTGCCTGCCAGGCGCCATCCTCCCGCCCGAGACGCGGCCTCGGCATGCCAGCCCGCTCCTGCCTGCCACGGAGATCCGGGGGTGTCCCCACGCTGCTCACCCCGACCCCGCACCGAGCCTCTCTCCCCGCCCTGCGCGGAGCACGCTGTGGCTCGGAGTTGACGTGGCTCCACTCTCCCCCAGTCTGCCCTCCGCTCAGCAGCCCAAGTGTTCTTCAGAAACATATCCGATTCTTCTCTCTGTGTGTGGTTCTTAAATGAAACTTTAAAAAGTATGCTGCTAGCCCTGGCCGGTTTGGCCCAGCGGTTAGAGCGTCGGCCTGCGGCCCAGAGAGACCGGGGTTCGGTTCCCGCTAAGGGCACATACGCCGGTTGCAGTTTGTCCCCGGCCCTGGTTGGGTCATGCAGGTGGCAACCACTCGACAAAATATGCTCCCACTCTATCTGAACAAAATATGTAAAAATGTCCTTGGGTGAGGATTTAAAAAAAAAAAAAAGTATGCTGCTAGCCCTAGCCGTTTTGGCTTAGCGGTTCAGTTCCTGCTAGGGGCACGCCCCCGCCCTCTCAAAAAGCATGACTATTAAGTCACTCTCTCTGTATAAAACAGTCCCTTGGTTTTCCATTGTGGTTAGAAATGCCTCTGTAAAGTCTTCACCCCACTCGGCCAAGCTTAATCCCACCTCAGGGTCTTTGCACCTGCTGTCCCCCCTGCCTGGAAAGCAGCTATCACCTCTCATGTAAGCTGTCCCTGACTATGCAATGTAAAATAACTGTCAGTTTCACATCAGATAGCAGAACCTGAAATTGCCTTCCTTTATAGTTTTATTCACCACTGTGTCTACTGTGCCCAGAACATTGTTTGGCTGGAGCTAAGTATATGCTCAATAAATATTTGTGGAAGAAAGGAATGTGTGCTTTGTCAAAATCCCAAATGCTTGCAAGTGGAAGAACTGGGATTTGAACCTAGCTCCAGGAGTGCTCTTTCTCCTCCACCCAACCACCCCACTTTATTTTATGACTCATGTACAGAGCTGTGTCAATCATGCCTCTCAGTTTGTGACACATCATCACTATGACCAATTTCCCTCCTCTCCCCATCTTCCCTCCTTTCTCCTCCCTTCCAGTGAACGCACATCAGTGTGCTCAGTTGACTTCCTTGAATCCTAGCTCTCTACTATACATGTCTCTGGCTGCTGTGTGGGTGTATTAGGCATTTACAAACATGAGGTCATGTATAAAACTCATTCTGGTCCGGCTGGTGTGGCTCAGTGGTTGAGCAAGAGGTCACCGGTTCGATTCCCAGTCAGGGCACATGCCCAGGTTGTGGGCCCAATCCCCAGTGGGGGGCATGCAAGAGGTGGCCAATCGATGTTCTCTCTCATTGATGATTTTATCTCTCTCCCTCTCCCTTCCTCTCTCTCTAAAATCAATAAAGAAAAACAAAACAAAACTCATTCGGTTGTTCACACCCAGTACTAATGTTCTCTACATGCATCTCATTTGTTGCTTCTATTGGCTGCATGTGGTATACCATATTGAGCATCTAGCACTTTCATTATCCACCCCCAACCCCTAGTGATACACACTTTCTTAGCCTGATGCCCCCATCACATCACACATCACTGCTAGGGACATCTTCACATTTTCTCCTTATGGACTGTGGGAGAATTCTTTCTTTAAAAATTATTTTCCTTTATGGATTTTAGAGAGGGAGGAAGGGAGAGGGAGAGAGAGAGTGAGAGAAACATCAATGAAAGAGAACATAGATTGGCTGCCTCCTGCACCACCCCCACTGGGGATAGAGTCCACAACCTGGGCATGTGCCTTGAAAAGGAAGTGAACCTGCGACCTCTAGGTGCATGAGTTGATGCTCAACCACTGAGCCACACCAGCCAGGCAAAAATTCTTCTTGCAGTAGGACTTCCAGGCCACAGAGTCCATGAGTCCTTGACCTCACAAAGTACCACAGATGCTTTCCTGAGTGGTTGTACCAATTTACACACCCACCATGAGGGTTCTGATTTTCTCTTAGCACTTGGTAGTCCAGCTTTCTAATGGCTTGCCAATCTGAAGAGTCTAAGATGGTACCTCGTTTTCATCTGGGGATCTCTGATGACTGGAAAATGTGAACAGCTCTTCATGCACTTGTCTGTCACGGTGGTTCCCTCTTGTGAATTGCCCATATCTTTTATCCATTTTTTTCTGTTGGTTTCTAGTCTTTTTTTTTTTTTTTTCCCCTGCTGATTTGCATGTCTGTACATTTCTAAGTATTAATCCTTTGCTGGGTTTTGATGCTGCACACATCTCCTCCCTGTCCATCTCTGTCTCCTTACTTTGTCTAAGGCGCTCTGAATTAGAGCCATGGATTTCATCTAGTCAAATCCATCAGGTTTGTGCTCTTTGAGTCTTGTTTGAAGTGTTTCCTCACCCTGAAGTGACAAAGATATCCTCCAACATCTTTTTCTTTAAAGATTTTTTTTCCTGCCCAGGCCGGTTTGGCTCAGCGGTTGGAGCATCGGCCTGCGGTACAGAGAGACCCAGGTTCGGTTCCTGCTAAGGGCACGTATCTCGGTTGCAGTTTGTCCCCGGCCATGGTTGGTCGTGCGGGTGGCAGCCACTCGATGTGTCCCTTTCACATTGATGTTTCTCTCTCTCTCTCTCTTCCTCTCTCTCCCTCCCGCTCTATCTGAACAAAAAATGGAAAAATGTCCTCGGGTGAGAAAAAAAAAAAAAAAAGATTTTTTTTCCTTATTGATTTTATTTTTTTTTCCTTTATTTCATTTTTTAAAAATGTGCCCTGGCCAGTTTGGCTCAGCGGTTAGAGCATCGGCCTGTGGTCCAGAGAGACCGGGTTCGGTTCCTGCTAAGGGCATGTATCTCGGTTGCAGTTTGTCCCTGGCCCTGGTTGGGTTGTGCTGGTGGCAACCACTCGATGTGTCCCTTTCATGTTGATGTTTCTCTCTCTCTCTTCCTCCCACTCTGTCTAAAAAAAAAAGTTTTTGTTTACTTTAGAGAAAGAAAGAGAGAAACATCGATGACAGAGAAACATCAATTGGTTACCTTCCACACAACCTGGACCAGGGCTGGGGATTGAACCTGAAACCTAGTTACGTGCCCTTGACTGGAATCGAACCCTCTACCCTTTGGTCTGCAGGCCAATCCTCTAACCATTGAGCAAAACCACCCAGGGCTTCTTTACTGATTTTAGAGAGAGAGGGAGGGAGAGAGAGATGGAAACATCGAAGAGAGAGAACATCGACTGGCCGCCTCCTGCATGGCCCCAATGGGGATCAGGCCCACAACCTGGGCATGTGCTCTGACTGGGAATCCAACCAGTGACCTCTTGGTGCAGGGTGGATGCTCAACCACCGAGCTACACCGGCCAGCTGTAACATTCTTTTCTGCTGGCCAGATAGTTTTATTTACTCTCTAGCAAAGTTGCAACAAAGTAGTTCACTGACTCGAGCCAAACTGCCTGCACTGGAATTCTAGTGTTCTCCTTACTGGCTTTGGGGTCTTGACAGGGCAGGAGCAAGGTAAGGGAGTGAGGCATTCACCTTGGGTGAAAAATTTAAGGGGACACCCAAAAGACTCAGTAAGAAAAATCAATAATATTTTAATGCATTATTTTAAAAAATTTAAGGCAAAAATTAATGAACAAAATATCAAAATTTTAAAGACAAGCTTCAACCTTGCACGACTCACCTCACTCACCATTCCCTCGTCCTGATCTTACCTTGAGCGAGTTACATATGTAACTTCTCTCTTTCTGTCTCCCCCCCCCCCCCCAGGACATTCTTGCATTTATCTTAAGGTAGACCTGGAGGGAGAGCAAGAGGAAGAGAGAAGAAACATCCATGCGAGAGAGACACGGACTGGCTGCCACCCACACAACCCCAACCAGGGCCAGGGACGAACAGGAAGTGAGGTGCGTTCCCTTAGCGGGCACCGAACCGGGGACTGTGTGGTCCGCGGGCAACGCTCTAACCGCTGAGCCAAACCGGCCAGGGCGTGCTCTTTATTTTTGAAAAAGAAAAAAACAAATACGGGATTTAAAAGTCACGATTATTGTGCTAGATATGCAAAAAGAAAAGGCCAGAAGGGAATACACCAAAATAGTTTTGGAAACTATTTTGGGGGGTGGCATCAGGTTGGTCTCCCCCCACCCTGGCCCCATTCCCCTCTCCTAGGTCTGAAATGCTGTTATACTACTTGTACATTTTTTATCCTCACCCGAGGACATTTTTTGACATTTTGTTCAGATAGAGTGGGAGGGGAGGGAGGGAGAGAGAGAGAGAAACATCGACGTGAAAGGAACACATCGAGTGGCTGCCACCCGCACGACCAACCAGGGCCGGGGACAAACTGCAACTGAGGTACGTGCCCTTAGCGGAACCGAACCCGGGTCTCTGGGGACCGCAGGCCGACGCTCTAACCGCTGAGCCAAACAGGCCATCTTTACATCTTTAAATGTAGTGGCACAAGGGCTCGTGGGAGGGCCGCAGTCTTAATCAATTCAAAACATGTTTGCTCCCCGCCCTCCCGCCGCGCCCCGCCCCGCCCCGCCCCACCCCGCCTCGCCCCGCCCCCTGACAGGCCTCGGTTTACCCCTACCCCCTGCCTCAGGCCCCGCCCCTGGTCAGACCCGCGCGCTCAGCCGCACCGCTGACGACCAATCACCTTCCGTTTCCACGTTCAGTCCCTTTTT